CTGGATTACTGGTCATTGGGTTCCCAGGAAATCCCAGGGAGAGGCAGAAGGCCTTGGGCTTAGGCCTCTGTGCAGAACAGAAAGACGAATGGGTCTTTGTGCCCAGGGCAGTGTCATGGGGGAGGGAGGTCACTTTTTAAAAATATATGTTTTTATTGATTTCAAAGTGAGGAAGGGAGAAGGAGAGACAGAAACATGAACGATGAGAGAGAGTCATTGATCAGCTGCCTCCTGCATGCCCCCTCACCGGGGATGGAGCTCACAAACTGGGCATGTGCCCTGACTGGGAATGGAACCATGACCTCCTGGTTCACGGGTCAATGCTCTACCACTGAGCCACGCTGGCTGGGCAGGAGGTTACCTGTTTAATGTTTTGTCTCCTCTGACCAGCCCAGCTTCCCTTCTTCTGCTTTCAGAGAACTGTATCAGTAGTTCCTTGCATTTGGGAATATGAAGACTCCTTTTAATACCCACCATACCTCATAGCTGCATTTTTATCCATATGGAAAATACAGGCCACAAACACAATCTATTATGAGTTCATTGACTAAAAATATCTTGATGGATCACAACATGGGCACACTGGAGGGCAGTGCCCCCTCTGAGGGTAGGTAGTGCTTGGCGTATTCATACTTCAAGTCCCCTTGCAGAGGAGAGCAGAGGGGGAGGAGAGGGTCAATGCTCTACCCAGGATAGGGTTAGGGGTAGGGTTAGGGTTAGGGTTAGTGTTAGGGTTATGGCTCTGCCCAGGAGAGGGTTGAGGGGGTAGGTAAAAGATCAACCAAAGGACTTGTATGCATGCATATAAGCATAACCAATGGACACAAGATACTGGGGGTTAGGGGAGTCCGGGGGAAGGCCGGGGGAGGAGGGGGAAGGAGACATATGTACTACTATTTGTAATATTTTAAGCAATAAAACAAAATTTTAAAAAATCAATGGAAATAAATCCTCAGGTGAGGATTAACAAAAAATAAATAAATAAGCCACATAAGTAATATTTTCTAGCAGTCATGTTAAGGTAAAAACAGATAACAGTTCTTTTAGAGATAGAATTTAATTACCAATATATCCAAAATATAATTTCAATATATAATCAATATAAAAATTATTGAGACATTTTTACATTCTCTTTTTCTTACTGAGTCTGATTTCTGGGGTGTATTTGACACTTAGTGCACATCTTGGTTCAGATTGGCCACATCTCAAGTGCTCAACATCCACATGTGGCTAGAGGCTGCCACATGGGACAGTGCACACAGGAGAGCAAGGACATGAGAAGAGGTTCTCCCTCAGCAGTTCCCAGCGCGGGGCTCACTCACCCTCTCTGCTGGAACACACCATCCTGGAAGGCACTCTGTCAGCCCAGAGCCAGCACGGAGCAGTCCTGGAGAACGTCCTGTGAGGACCGGTGGCCCAGCCAGAAGACGAACAGCACAGCGTCGTGCAGAGGATGCCAAGTGGGACTTGTGGGCTACAGCCAGGCCGTGGAGGAGTTGTGTTTGGCTCCCATGGTGTTTTTAAATCTCTTGAAGTGATTGTTGTTTTCATGACCTTACATTTCCTTCCTGGCTCCTGAAGACATTGGGGTGTGTAACGCCTGCATAAAACCACAGTTCTTTTTTTATTGATTGATTAGAGAGAAAGAGATTTGTTGTTCCACTTATTTATTTATGTATTCATTGGTCGTTTCTTGTATGTGCCCTGACCAAGGATCAAACTTGCAACCTTGGTATATCGGGACAACGCTCTAACCAACTGAGCTACCTGGCCACGGCAAAACCAAGTTCTTAGAGTCAGGCAACCCTGGATGTTAATCTTGGCTCTGCCACGTTTTAGCTGACAGTGGATACAATAAACTTTTCATTGTGTCTTCTTTTGTAAAATGGGAGATAACTACTTCACAGAGATGTAAGGCTTTAATGACACAGGAATTAATTGGCTAGCACAAAGCTTCGTACATAGTAAGTACTCAGTAAATTGTGGTACGAATTTTTCATTCACAGGAGACTTGAACTCTTTAGAGGCCCTGTCATAATTCCTCTTCTGATGCTGGAAAATTGGGAAGCACGTGGGCAGGAGCTCTTAAAAGCAATCCCCTGCCTGGCCAGGTGTGGCTCAGTGGTTGAGTGCTGACCTATGAACCAGGAGGTAACGGTCGCATGTCAGGGGTACGGGCTCGATCCCCAGCGGGGGTGTGCAGGAAGCAGCCGATCAATGATTTCCTCTCATCATTGATATTTCTCGCTCCCTCTTCCTTCCTCTCTCCAAAATCAAAAAAAAAAGCCACCACCACTGCCATAGACAGGTGTTGAGGCACGGCTTCTGTTCTCACCATTTTTAGTCTGTTTCCTTCCTCTGTTGCCCAAAGAATGGTTCAACTGAACTCAGTACCCCTCGTCACTAAGGCACTGAACGTTTTAAAAGGTAGATTTGGGGAAACAAAAGGGGAAAGTTAGCAGTGAACTAATGGCCCCGCCTGCTAACCTCAATCCTGATTCCAAGGCAGACAACTCTCAGGATCTGGGCACTGAATGCTGCTGATAAAGGATAAGATATTTATGAGCCACTTAGACCAAAACTTGGCCATGGCTCAACCCCAATTTTTGTTGTTGTTTTTTGCCTGTTACGGGGAAATGAAGAGGCTGGGACTTAAAGGAAGCATTGAAAAAAGCATGCTATGCTGCACACCATATCCCTCGAATAGGGCCAGGCTTCTTCACCATTCCCATCCCCATATGTTCCATTTCAGGAGTGCAGACAAGAGCAAAGAGTGGGCAGCCCGCCAATGACAAAGACCACGGAACTGCCCCTAACCGGTTTGGCTCAGTGGATAGAGCATCGGCCTGCGGACTCAAGGGTCCCAGGTTCGATTCCGGTCAAGGGCATGTACCTTGGTTGCGGGCACATCCCCGATAGGGAGTGTGCAGGAGGCAGCTGATGGATGTTTCTCTGTCATCGATGTTTCTAACTCTCTATCCCTCTCCCTCCCTCTCTATAAAAAAAATTTAATAAAATATATTTAATGAAAAAAAAAAAGACCATGGAACTGGCCTGGTCTATCCCTCTCCCTCCCTCTCTATAAAAAAAAATTAATATATTTAATTTTAAAAAAAGACCATGGAACTGGCCTAGGAAAACTCTTCCCAGCTGGTTTTCCTACCTTTCTTTCTGCTGTGTAGTGTGTGTCTTCTTCTTCAGTCCTTTCTGTGATTCAATTACGAATGTTTATGTGCTCAGCACTGTACCAGGCATTTTATCCTATTTTTCAAAATTACTCCTGTCATTTACCCGTCTCTGTTCCCTGCATCACTGTTTCGCATGTACTATCCATGAGGGTCTCTCCAACCTTCATTTACCAGGAACAGTGGCTCCTTTCTTTACAGTAAATAATGCAAGGCGGTCCTTGAGGCTGAGGACAGAGGGACAGACAGTCCTGAGCAGCACCTGGGGAGCTAGCACATCAGAGAGGAGAGGATGGGCAGGCAGCAGAGTGGAACAGCTGCAGAGCTTTCCCCCATTCCAGATTTAAGTAACTCCTTTGTTATCAAAAACAACGATGTCAGCATCAATGAGCTGCTGATTATAAAATTTATCCTTGGCAGAGGGAGAATTAACATTTGATGAATACTTGCCATCTGCCAGGCACTGTGGAAGGCTAGTGGTTCACAGTGTTTTAGTGGTCAAGGACTCCTCTGGGGTTCTTGTGGAAGCTTTAAACTCTCTGCCTTAGAAAAATTCAAATGCACACATTTTACATAGAATTACAGGGGTAAACGATATCCTGAAGGACAACCACAGACCCCAAATTAAAACCCTGTGTGCTAAGCTTAATCTGAGCATGGCATTACTGGGACTAGACACCAGTGTCCCACCTTACAGACAAGGGGACGTACCCAAGATTGCATACATCATAAGCAGCAGAAACATTTCAACCAGAGTTGTCTGCACACTACAACCTGCCTCCCTAGATGAAAATGTCATTGGTGTTTACTGTTACTGTAAATATCACTCATTTTTAAATGAGTAAATAAAGATTATGTGAGACACTAAAATCTGTGCAAAGCATTCTAAACCCAGCCAGGGAAACCCCGAAGCTGGAGGTCCCAATCCCATATCCTATCGGCAAAAGGCCCCCTCCTCCCAGACTCGCCACCCAGCCGGAAAACCAGCCACAGGGCGATTTTCTGAGAGGTTTCATGTTCTTCAGAACAAGAGGAACCTCTGTCAATAACACCTCAGTAAAAGTGGGAGAATATTTTTATAGGCAATCTCTTTAAAATAATCCATCAGGCCCTAGCTGGTTTGGCTCAGTGGATAGAGCATCAGCCTGGGAATTGAAGGGTCCTGGGTTTGATTCCAGCCAAGGGCATGTACCTCAGTTGCAGGCTCCTCCCCAGCCCTGGTCAGGGTGCACACAGGAGGCAACCAATCGATGTGTTTCTCTCACATCAATATTTTTCTCTGTCTTTCTCACTCTCTTCCACTTTCTCTAAAAATCAATGGAAAAATACCCTTGGGTGAGGATTTAAAAAATTAAAAATAATCTGTCATTCAAAATGTGAATTAAGAAACCAATCAAAGCCTGTAGATAAGAAACAAAAGAAATTTAATTTCAGAATATTACGTGAATACAAAAGAAAGAATGCATATGATTATTTCTTTACAGTTACATATATATATATATGATATATAGTCAAACAAGAATGAAAAGAAATGGCGACAGTTAAAACCCTGTTTCTCTTGTTGAGCGCATCCAGGGATGGTGCAAAGGCAGCCCTTGCTACGAAGAAAGGATCCTGGGGCAGGAGTGTTTTTTCCCAACAGGTTCTGCTGGTCCCCAAATGTGTGGGGAGTGCTCAATGGCTCTTCAGCATCGACTGGCCTCGCAAACTCCAGTTTCCATGGTAACCCAAGCACTCAGGCTATTATGTAGTCCACCTCCTTCCCATCCCCTCCATCAACTCTCCACTGGAGGAAAGACCTCAGCATTCGTTGTCTAGGAAAACCAGGTTTTTACAGCCGTTTTAGATTGGGCTCGTTGCCACTGGTCTAAAATGCATGTGCATCTTAGGAACCCAAATCTTCCCCCAAATCTAGGGCAATCCGGCCAAATGCTGGTATCCAGGTTTGGGATGGGGTCCTGCCTTCCACACAAAGACTTCAGGGTGGAGGGCAAGGAGGAGGCTCTCTCCTGGGGAAAGGTGTTCTACTTAGAAAAGACTCCAGAACAAGAGCCATCAGCTTCCAGCACCTGTACAAGGCCCCGTATGAAATAAGGAAGCAGGGAGTCCAGAGAAGTCCGATCCCAAAGATGGCTTCCCCAGTTATGCACAGCACAGGCCGGTCACTGTGGGGCACAGCGATGACCTCAGGTTCTCCTACAAGGCAGTACTTTAAACCGCGTCTAATAGAGGCTGCTGAAAGGAAAGCTGAACAGAAACACTGCTATTCAGGAGAGAATGGTCTGCTCTGCCACTCTGGGATTAAGTGGCGTCCTTACAGGCCAACCAAACCACCACCTCTGAACACCCAGTGGTCCCCACAGTCAACAGCTTGCACTACCCCACTTCCCCGGGGGGGGGGGGGGCTCCCATGTCATCGCGGACTGACGCTGAAGGGACGTCAGAGTAAAGAGCTTGGGGCGAGTAAAGAGCTGGAGCTTGGTTTCAGGTATGAGAAAGCTCCAGCTCCTTTAATATGTTGCCTCTCGGGTATAGTATTAGGATCTCCTAATCTTTCATTGCTGCAATGGAGGTTTCTCGGGAATTTTTTTGTGTCATTTTTTCCTTCTTTTGTTGTTTTCTTTTTGTTTTGTTTTGGGTTTTTTTTTTGTTTCTTCATTTTTTTGCAGTGGAGTTCTCAAACCAGATTCATTGGTCCCAGTGCAAAAATCCATCATTGTAAAAGGTAAGAAACTCCCATGCCTCTGGTTTTCACTGATTCAACCACTGCAGCTCACCCAGTGCAGATGTGAATCAATGAAGCAGGCTGGGTTTTTATGCTTGAGCCCTCCGGCACAAAACACTGCCCCGTATTCACACCACAGCAAAACCCATCGCAACTGACCCCAGAAAAAATGAATTTTCTCAGCCAGACGAAGAGGCATTTCCAGAGACTGATCCAACATAAAAAGTAAACATAACATTTTAAAAAATCTTATAGATTTAAAAAATTGTTAAATACTGGCTCAAAAATACCCTCCCACCAGTGAAAAGGGAGACACTGCCCTTCTGTGGCCAATGAAAAGGGCTTGTCTTTGCGTCCTCCATAAAATTCCACAGGATTAGAACAGTTACATGTGACAAGGCAGAAGGTTATACTATTTATTTCTCATATTTGAATTCCAACTGGATCACAGCTTCTATTTAAAAAAATGACCTATCATACCCTTAACACAAGGGAAAGCATACTTAATAAATAACTTAAATGAAACACATACCCAAATACAGAGAGAACCTGCACACGGGTGAGCTACATAAAAGCACATGCTGTGACAGACATCTCCCAACACCCAGCCAAGCGCACTACTGACTCCACACAACCCGTCTCCCGAATCTCAGGAACCTCCCGCAGACAGAGCCACAGCACAAGCCCGATGACGAGGGGCAGCAGTCCCTGCTCTGCTCCCACGAGCGGATGCCAGACCACCAGGACAGTCCACACCCCAGGGGGAAACAGTTAGATGAATAAAGTGTGGAGTGAAGGGAGAACACTGCCTCGGTCTGTTCACACCAAAAGGGGTTTCTGAATTCCCTGACAGCTGGCGCAAGGAATTTATTTTTTCTCAATAAGGAAAAAAGCCAAATAGAAACCATACACAAATGAATTTGCTAATAAGTACTTTTAAGAATGACATAAAACTGCTCTACAGGAAGGGACTTCTAAGCAGTTTTATACCCCTACCCATCAATTGTTCACAATCTATCAAATTGGAAGGCCAAATTTTACCTTTCTGTCCCTTCACTATTGCCGTTACAGCAGCAGAAGAAACAGTAAATATGAAAAAGAGGACTGGCACTGGACACAAAAGCAAACTCTGCTCCCCAGGGTCATTTTCATTTCAGCAGTAACACAGCATTTCAATAGTTTCAAAACAGGTCAGCCAACCATACTTGCTGGGCAACTGCTTCACCACAGAGGCCTGACTCCGCTCCAGCACACGGGTGAGAGCGTCACACAGCTTAAGGAGCAGGCACAAACCGAACCTTCTCCCTTGCCACGTGCTGCTCTCGGGCAGTGAGTATTCACACAAGATCAAAGGCATGCCTCTGCTCACCCCAAACACACATGAGCATCTCAACCCCATCAAAGCAGCCGCTCCAACCCATCGCCCCACTCCTCCCCGTGCCCATTCTGACAAGGAGGGGGGCTGTGCAGCTCTTAGGACTCTGGTGATAAGCCACGCTGCTTCCCATGAGGACATTCTCTCCTTTAAGTCCTGCGGAGACTACTGCTCACTTCCTTCCTCTGCCTCCAGCTGGCTCTCAGGAGACTGTCTAGCCTGCACACCTGACCTCTTAGAAGAATGCAGTAGAACACCCCCTACCCCCACCATACCCCCACCCCAAGGAGTCGTCCTGGACAAAACAACCAGCCCCACCCAGTCATACTCTGGAGCTTCCACTACATATAGATATTTCGGCAAACCTCTAGTAAGCAGTCAGAGACTTCCCTTGAGTCACAGTGATTTGACAGGAGTATTGGCACCACATGGGCACCAGAGATGTTTTAGGCAGAGAAAACTGAAGGAAGGAAACAAGTTCAACAATCACACAATTATCTGACATCACTGAGGAAAGAAGAAAGGAGGGAGAGAGAGAGAAGAGAGGGAGGAACACAATCTAATAATTAACATTTGTTAAAATATTGTATCATTCTGAATTCTCCTTTTTCAATACTGCAGGCCAAATAATCTGCAATCTCACACCCAAGAAAACCTACAAATTTTCCAGGAAAGCTATAAATTCCTTGGACATAAATAAGGTATTGAGGACTACAGCCTCATGAGGTAAGTTTTCCCAAAGTTGAAGGTAAAAAAGAGAGGAAAGACATCTGGCTTAGAGCCCATTTAGATTACATAAACAAAAATAGCTTTAAAAGATAAACAAGCAACAAATAAACAAGAAATAATGACAAAAATACCCAACACTATCAAAATAGAGAAAAGTCCAAAATATCTGTTAAAAATAGCATCAATCCACTAGGATGACAGTACTTTAAAAAACAAAACACTGGCAGTTGAGCACAAATCTCCTATTTTTAAAAACAGACTGTGCCTAAACAAATACATGAAATCAGCACTGGCGTCTGCCTAGTTCTGCCATTTACTGTGCCGTGTAAGCTGGTTAGTGGTTTCCCCATAACGTTTAAAAAAAAAAAAAAGAGCTGCTGGTACTGGTTCAGAAGGCAGAGTTTGCAGAAACACCAGTGAGTGGAGTTAGAGGTATCAGTCGAGTTACAGGATTAGTAACTTTCACAATTCAAACTGCAGCAGCAAGCTGCAAGTCCACCCTTCTCTGCGAGCGGGAATGGCACCTGGCCCATTGCAGAGCAAACTCTGGTGGACAACAGGAGAACTCTGGGTCCTTCAGAGGAATCCTAGGTGGAAAGAGAAACGAGGGCATTAAGCACATTTATAAATATTTTTTTTGCAAACCTCCTACCTAAGAGCTAGAGAATCTATACTTAATATTTTCTACAAACTGAGGATTAAAAAGTTTGGTTGAGAATTGATGAATTTCTACCAAGTAAACTTCAATTTGTCCAACTGCTCTAATCTCAGTTCATGACATCATCTTTTTTTTTCCAAACAATTTACATTCAATACCATTCCACACCAGTTTCAGATGTACCGCAGAGTAGTCTCCCCGCTGCCCCAAGCACCCGCCTGGCCCCATGCCGTTATCTTGACATTATTAACCATATTCCCCATGCTGCAATCCACATCTCTGTAACTATTCTGCAACTACCAATTTGTACTGCTTAATCACTTCATTTTTCCCCCCAGTCCCTCAATTCCCCTCCCATCTGACAGCTGTCAGTCTGTTCTCTGTATCTATGAGTCTGTTTCTATTTTGTGTCCTTGTTTATATTGTTCATTAGATTCCACATATAAGTGAAATCATATGGCATTTGTCTTTCACTGACTAGCCTATTTCACTTAGCATAATACCCTCTCTAGGTCCATCCTTGCTGTCAAAAAAGGTACGATTTCCTTCTTTTCTACGGCCAGTAGAACTGAGCTGTTGAAGTAGACCAAGGTGCTAAGAGGGAAAAATCAAGAGCAGAGATGAGCAGAGAATTTAAGAGAGGACGCTGAAAAACACAAAGGATGGAAGGGTAGGCAGATGACAGTAAGCTACTGCCAAGACGAAGAGAATTAAAGAGGAAGGAGAACAAGAACAAAGAATATCATGACAGCCAAAGAAGTGACCAGGGAGAAAGAAAAATGAAAATGCCATTGTCTAATCCAGTGGAATGTCTTTCATTATCAGTGGGCCTCCACTTTTCTGAATCACTAATATTTTCGAGAATCTAATAAAAATATTTTTTTTCTCCTCCAGAAAAATGGACATATGCACCAATACATAAAATTACATTAACAATACCAGGAACTTCTTAGAGCTTTATGAAGTCCACAGTTAACAGATCAAGCATCCCTGCACTAAAATTTCTTGGTAAATTATTACATTACACTGGCTTATTTATTTATTTTTTAATCCTCACCTGAGGATATTTTTCCATTGATTTTTAGAGAGAGTGCAAGAGAGAGGGAAAGACAGAAACATTGATGAGAGAAATACATTGATTGGCTGCCTCCTACACGAGCCCTGACCAGGGCCCAGGTCAGGGAGGGTCCTGCAACCGAGGTACATGCCTTTGATCTGAAACAAATCCAGAACCCCGGCAGACCAACGCTCTCTCCACTGAGCCAAACTGACTAGGGCTAAACTGGCTTATTTTTTAATGCATTTCTTCCAAAAGCAAAATTGTCAATATAGAAAGACTTATTTCTTGATTATCTTCAAAAATGAAAGCGACAAAAGGTGTAATTGATACAAAACAATGTACCCTTCAAATATACCTCATGATTGGTTTTGACTTATGAATATATAGGTAGAACGATGTAGACACACATAACTCAACACCAAGCTTGCCTCAAACAGCCCAGCCCTAGCTGGTTTTAGCTCAGTGGGTAGAGCGTGGGCCTGCGGACTAAAGCGTCCCAGGTTCGATTACAGTCAAGGGCACATGCCTGGGTTGTGGGCTTGGTCCCTAGTGTGAGGCATGCAGGAGGCAGGCGATTAATGATTCTCTCTCATCATTGATGTTTCTATCTCTCCCTCCCTCTACCTTCCTCTCTGAAATTAATAAAAATTTATTTTTAAAAGAAAACAGCCCAGCCTCAAAATCAGAAAGAAAAAAATTCAGATAATTCATTCAAGGATAAGTAAGGGAGACTACACCAAACTCTAATTTTTTTAGAAAAGTATAAAAATTTATCCATAAAGATTGGACTTTTGTTCCCTATCAAAATGTTTCAAATAAAAACTATGCTTATGTCTCGGTGGTAAAACGGCCATGTCAAACCAGAGGTCACTTCAGCTGCCACACAAGCCTAATAAAACAAGACCAAGTCTCCTCTGGTTTTCTTTAGTAACAATTATGACCACTTGTTTATGCTTTAATAATCATGGTGTGCTTCCAAAACATTATTTCAGTTGAGTCTCATAAGAAACCTCATTTTCAGAGGAGGAAACTTGGGCCAGAGGAATGATGGCTCAAGTCAGGTCTAACTACAAATCCCCTGGTCTTTCTATAAAACACATGGCTTCTTCAGAAGAAAGCACAGTAGCCACTGCCTTTTACCAGGAGAGTTTGAGCAACCAGCAGTCCGAGCACTAAATAATCCTCTTTGTCCTGAGCCTCAATAAACATCTTGTAAATGATTTCCGGGGTCCTTTGGCATGAACTATCTCTCTGGAAAGTTTCACTGAATAAACAAAACTGAAGTCTATGACAAGAAGGAACGTGACTATTCCATGTTTACTGACATATTCTTGGAACTTCTGTACTCAGTTTCACAAATTAATTAACACTTGTTTTTTATTTGCTTAACAAGGTATTTGACACGTGTCCTATCTGTGCAAGAATGCAGGGACCAGGAGGGTCTATATTCTGAGCTCTAACCCTCAGCACCTGGGCCAGTGCTGAGTAGATGCGCAATAACCATCTGCTAAACAAACTGAAGGGCAAGACCCAGCCTTGTAATTTTTACATTGCTTTAACTACAACCATTTAAAAAATGTTACTAACTAGATGCAGAAAGGAACCACATTCAGTAAGAACACAGAATAAATAAGTACAATTAGTACCTTTTTTCCCCTCTTTCTTCCCCTCTGGCCATTTCAATCTTGTTGGTGTCATTGTGCCATCTGGAGATCCAGAAAATAACTGTAACAAGAAATTTTTATAGTGGCTTAAATATTCTAATGTCATTCCTATAGACAGACTTTACTAACAGGAATTTGTTTACTAGGTTAATGTCAATGTCCAGAGTTTTACTGACATATTTATATCTCATTAATCTCAACTGGTTTTCTTGCTGGCTTACTGAAGTGACGATGCCTGGGACACCTAAAGGACTCCTCCAGGGGTAATGCAGTGCCAGGCAGTCTGGCTCAAATACTACCCACCCTGTGGAGTCTCCCAGTAAGAAGTGCTCCCTCAAGCACTGTGTTTGTGAGCTATCTCACTGTATTTGCCTTCTTTGCTTATGACAGGCTGTATCTTCCTTAAATTCGAAATGTGTTTGTTGAATGAATCAATGAAAACCTACAGAAAGATGACAGCACAAATGAAAGGATTAATTGAGAAAAAGGCCTAGTTTACTGAGAAACACAATCAAACAGATGACAGTATGTAAATTTTCCTCCTCTCTATAAGTAATCACATACAAAAAGAAGGTACAAAGAACAGTATTTCCCTACGTTCATATTCTCTTTGCTGGCTCTCTTCAATTCACCAATGGCTAGAGATTCCGGCGTAGGGGCCTTGTTCTTCCTTTCTGACATCATCTGACTTCCCAGGACCTTCCGCTGATTTAGGAAGAAAAAATATTTGATTTATAAACATCTGCTTATCTGTATTATTGCTATTCTGGCCTTCAAAAATAGTTCCTTAAGTTAAGGAAATCTCAGCTTTCTGATAAATTCTCCCAGGCCATCTTCTTCTACAAGGGAGATCACACCAAAAGAAAAAGAAAAAAACAACAACCTGAAATCATTGCCTTTCTTTAGGCAATCACTTTTCCTCTTCAATTAAAAGGGGTGCAATGTTAGAAGCAACTTTACAGTTTATTTAAACTCTCTAATACAGGCAATTACAGTGTGCTTCTGAAACTATAAAAGAAACTCCAGTTACTTACTTGTATAATTTTTTCCCCAAAGACATGTTGTCTCTGGCAGTTCTTAAGAGTCCCCTCTTCTCCTCCCAATTAAAGAATACTTACACTGGGCCCACTCTAAGACTTGGCTTCCCCAAGACTGGAAAATTTGGAGAAATTCTATAAGAGTTTCCAATATACCGTATTTGCCGGCGTATAAGACGATTTTTTGGCCCTGAAAAATATGCCTCCAAGTGGGGGGTCGTCTTATACGCCAGGTACACTTCAGATAGACTGCCCATAGTGCTTGCCCCGTGCCATAGTGGCCTCCCGATGCCCGCCCACTTCATTCCACATACCGTTCAGGCATCAGCAGCGCTGCTGGGTGTATGCTCGGCTGTTAGGCGATTTTGCGAGTGTGGTAAATTCGGGTTACCGTATATTTCTTTACATATGCATTGAAGATTCGCGATTTTGCGCTATCATGGTGCCTGTTAGAATGTTGAAGAGCTCGCACTTGCGCACTAGTGAGGTCCCAGGGAGATGCTGATGCAAGGGTGAACCAGACTGCTATAGTGACAGGGCGGGCAAACAGGGAGCAGGGACCAATCAAATCAGGCTTTGTATACAGCCAACAGCCAACCACAATACTGCCCCATTGTACAGTACAGCATAGAAAATGTCGACCAGTCAAACCCCTATCATCCCTATCATGGCACCAAGATGTCGTTGATGAACTTTTAATATCAGATGATGAAGAGGAGTTTGAAGGCTTTTAAGGTGAAACTGTCACGCCAGCAAACTTGCTAGGGACTTGCCCGGCACTTGCTCTCTCCCTCTATTTGTTATCTTACTTCTATCATTGACAGTCCCTCTAGGTTGTGGGCTGCTTGCCTGTGTTCCTGAGAAGCATCTACGGTATCAGTCTATAGAGTGTGTTTTCTTTAGTGAATTACCGGTATGTTTACCGGTAATAAACTTGCACTGTTTTATGTATATGTTTGATTACATACAGCCTTGTGACAGTTTTCCTGCATGTCATAAACATTTGAATATAAATTAAAATGTTAAAATCAAATCTGATATTGTTTTACCTTTTATTTGGTGTGTGGAAGGTGTGCGGAAGAGGGGGTAGTCTTATACGGCGAGTATATCACAAACTCTGTATTTTGAGTGGAAATGTTAGGGGGTCGTCTTATACGCCCAGTCATCTTATACGCCGGCAAATACGGTAGTCACAAGGTACAGGCCTTCTTAAGAGGGTCACATGACCATACTGACATTTCTCCATATCCACACCAACACTTATTTTCTGGATTCGTTTTGAGAACAGCCATCCTTATGATTATGAATTGGTATTTCATTGTGGTTTTGATTTACATTTCCCTAATGATAAATGATATTGAACATCTATTCATGTGTTTATTGGTTATCTGTATATCTTCTTCCTTAGAAAATGTCTATTTAAGTCCTTTGGGTATTTTGTTAGTTTGTTTATAAAAGTTCTTTTTACATTCTGAATATTAGCCTCTTATCAGATATATGTTTTACAAATATTTTCTCCCATTCTGCTTGTTGCCTTTTCACTTTGTTAATAGCAAAGAAAATTTTAATGTCAAGCAAATCTAATGTTCCAGAGGCTATTGGCCCCAGTGAATCAGGATTGAGAGAATTCTAAAATTCTATTAATGATATTAACTAGGATCAAAATTAGAGTTCAGATGAAATTGCAACTGCTGACAACTGCAGCTTACTGGAAAAAATACACATATTACAAAATATATACATATTTTTTAGTGCACAATTTGTCATTTTAAGCAAAGAGCTCCTTGACTGTTGATAGATTTATAGATATTAATAATGTTAAAATAATTTTAAAAAGAAGAACAGTAGAATATAGAACAGTGCTAATCTCATTCTAAGTTAATGAGAACCTTGCTTCAGTTTAAGGTATGCCTGGAAATTTGAAGCCCATAATCAAGTTATCTACTGCCACCTGATGACAATATCCCCTAACTACAAGTCAAACCATCCACAAAGACTGGAAAATTGAATCTGCAAATAGTAATGGCAACAACAGCACAGAAGTACATATTGTATTTGTTTTAAAAACAAGATTTGTAATGAATTTGATACAAAGGAATAGAATACAACAACTGATCGAATATTAAGCTCACAAAAATTTGAGTTACTTAAACCCACAAAATCCATTTCTAACAATTTTTCTAGTCTCTGTATCAATCTTCTCACTTCTCTATAACTTCAGCAAATTGCATAATGAAGTGTGTAGTACAAAGCAAGTCATGAAGCAAAAGAGACTTTCTCCACAGTTCAGAAACAAGGAATCTGTCCTTAATCACGGAGGAAAGGATGGGCCTTTCTTTCTTTCATTCCTCACTTCTCCAAACACAGAACCCCTTCTCTGATTTGAAGCACAGAAAAATGCTTTGAAAAATAAAAGCTTTTCCAAATTCTATCCTTATCCTCTTACAAACACGCCTTTTACAGGGTTCCAAAGAATAGAAGAAAGCTGTTAATGCATAAGAATGATGAAACTGTTCAATTTTCTCACAGTCAATGCTGAAACCAACAGCACAGCACACTTACCTTAATAAGGCCACTGAAGGAACGTGAACGGGCCCTCTTCTGTACCCGGGGAGTAGAAGGTTCTTGCCCTGGTGTTAGGGTCACAGATTGCTTATTAAACTAAAAGAAAACATAGAGGACATTTTGTTAACATTCTCCCATTAGCGATAGCATTCTATGACAAACATATGAAAAGCTAAATGTAAATACCGAGAAAAATCTAGTAGTAAGTGATTCTGTGCATATACGGATAAGTAAGTAGAGTGGCAAGCAAATCACAAAGGCAGAAATGCTGCCAAAAAACAAGCCCAAATTTATTAAATTAGTTTGAGGGTTAAATTAAGGAGCGCACACCAAAGAAATCAAATTGGAATCAGATCAAACTTCTAGAATTAGACCTAACCACCAGTTTATAGCAAATACAGAGGACTGAAGGACATCTTAAATAATACCACAAGGATATAACCAGCAAAATCCAGACTCTGGAAGGTATCACGGGGGTTGGGGTGGACAGAAAGAGAATATGTGTATACATATGTACTTAAACGCAATGTGGTATCCCGGATTGGATCTCAGAACAGAAAAAAGGATATTAGTAGAAAAATTGATAAAATCTGAATAAAGTGTGTAATGTTAATAGTAATGTACCATTGTTAATTTCTTAGTTTTGACAATGTTAACATTAGGAGAAACTGGATGAAGGGTATGTAGAAATTCTCTGTTCTTTTTTAAAAAAATATATATTTTATTAATTTTTTACAGAGAGGAAGGGAGAGGGATAGAGAGTTAGAAACATCGATGAGAGAGAAACATCGATCAGCTGCCTCCTGCACACTCCCTACTGGGTATGTGCCCGCAACCAAGGTACATGCCCTTGACCGGAATCGAACCTGGACCCCTTGAGGCCGCAGGCCAATGCTCTATCCATTGAGCCAAACCGGTTAGGGCTTTCTGTTCTATCTTTGCAATTTTTCTCTAAATATACACTCTGACAAATTTAAGAGTTTAGCCGAAACTGGTTTAGCTCAGTGGATAGAGCGTCGGCCTGCGGACTGAGGGGTCCCAGGTTCGATTCTGGTCAAGGGCATGTACCTGGGTTGCGGGCACATCCCCAGTAGGAGGTGTGCAGGAGGCGGCTGATCCATGTTTCTAACTCTCTATCTCTCTCCCTTCTTCTCTGTAAACAAATCAATAAAATATATTTTTTAAAAAAATTTAAGAGTTTATTCAAATGAAGAAACTTGGGCAGTTTTTTAGAGGTGAAAAAGAGGGATAAGAGAGAAGGGACCTATATATTAAAAGAGACCCAGTAGATGTATCAACAACAACAAAGAAAGGCATACGCTTTCTCATGCCACTCTAGGAAAAAATCTGCAATGAAAATACTTATAACAAAAATATATAAACTAAAAAATGACCTAATTTCCTCAACATGCCCAGAAGGCAAACTATACGTATATACATTAGGTTATTTATGATGAAATACTATACAGCCATTAAAATGTTTCTAGCCTTTTAATGACATGGAAAATGTTCATGATATCATTTTAAATGAAAAGGATAGGATATACAAAAATTGATTGTATATTATGATCTCAAGCAGAAAAAAATTGAAATACACATTCATAAAAGAAACACTAGAAGAGGAAGGGAGAGAGATAAAGAGCGGGAGAGAGAAACATCAATGTAAGAAACACATCAGCTGCCATATATCCCAACTGGGGCCGAGATCAAACCCGAAACCTAGGCATGTGCCCTGACCGAAAATCGAACCCGCAACCTTTTAGTGTACGGGACGACACTCCAACTGGTCAGGGCAAAATGGCAGTATTTAAAATGTATGCAAGGAGTATACAGCCATGCATAAAATGCTTATGCTATAATATTTAGTGAAAAGGGAGAGGTAAAAGAAAGTATATGTTATAATCAAACTATATAAAAATGTTTATACAAAAAGAGACTGAAAAAAATAGGCAAAATGTAAACACTAGTAGGATGAGTGATTTTATTTTTTTCTTATCTTTGTCTATAATTTCCTATCTTTCTAAAAAAAAAGAATAAAAATAATGTTAACATTTTTCCTTTATATTACATTTAATCCTCAGTGTCTTGATAAGTCATTACACTTGTCCTACCTGAATTGCTATCTTAGTCTCTACCAAGAATCAAATCACTACACTTTGAGTTGGTAATAATAGCCAAAAACCTCTAAAATTCCAGTCTTATCATAATTTGCTAGGTATCAAAGTAAATTCAGAGAGTGATAGAAAACTTCTCTTGCAGGACTCTGTTCATTGTTAAGAACAGCTTAGTTCGCCCTAGCCAGTTTGGCTCAATGGATAGAGCGTCAGCCTGCAGACTGAGGAGTCCCAGGTTCGATTCCGGTCAAGGGCATGTACCCTGGTTGCGGGCACATCCCCAGTAGGGGGTGTGCAAGAGGCAGCTGATCGATGTTTCTCACTCATCTGTGTTTCTAACTCTCTATCCCTCTCCCTTCCTCTCTGTAAAAAATTAATAAAATATATTAAAAAAAAAAAAAAAAAACAGCTCAGTTCAACATTTTCTGAGCACTTATGTCTGGCCCTATGCTTGAAATTAGGTATAAAAAAATATGTGTATTAAAAACACAGACTCTTCCCTCAAGAAGGTCTCAGTTGAATAAAAAGTCAAGAGACTTACCGTGCCTATTCAGCTAAAATTCAAGAGGGTCTGAGACAAGATGAATTTCCTGAGAAAGCAACTAACCATGTCATCAGTATTTACTCAAGCTCCACTTTGAGTCTCAAAATGGCAAAGGAGAGACCTCCCATTGCTCCAAAATAAAGAAACTTAGCCACTAGAATTCCTACCTATCTATATATATAAAAGCCTACATGACTGAACAACCAAATGACCAGTAGACAGGTCACTATGAAATGCATTGACCACCAGGGGGCAGATGCTCAATGCAGGAGCTGCCCCCTGGTGGTCAGTGTGCTCCCACTGTGGGAGCGCTGCTCAGCTGACCAATGGGCTCCAGACACCGGGCTCACGGCTGGCAAGCACAGCTGTGGCCTGTGGCGATCGGGCCAAAATCAGCAGTCTGACATTCCCTGAGGGGTTCCAGATTGCCAGAGGGCGCAGGCCAAGCTAAGGGACCCCACCAGTGCATGAATCTGTACATCAGCCTCTAGTTTCTAATATCAGACAAGCCCCTTAGCTAACAGCATTTTCTAATTGCAAACAACTCACTAAAAGCTATCACTTTGCTCTACTATGCCAACCACTTTACATAGATTCTCTCTAATCTTTACAAGATGGACATTACAATTACCATTTTACAAAGAAGAAAACTAAAATTCAGAAAGGTTGTTATTTACCAAAAGAAGGAGTTAAACTTTGGAATAATATATTGTAACTGCTGGTTCTCTCTCAGCAATCTTGCTACATGATCAAATTAGAGAAGCTCTAACTATGGTTGGATCCTTCTGTTTAACTAGAAAAATCCAAGAGCCTCCACTCTTTTCTCTAGTGGGGCAGTGGTACAGAGATAGAGATTCCAATGAGGTTCCATAGACAAGTTTGCTTCAATGGCTGAGCCAAGGCTTACGCCAATAAGAGTCAAAAATTTTAAATGAGATTCTTAACAATATTCCCTATGATTCTATAACTATGATCACATGAATTCCGAAAGCCCTGTTTCCCTGCTTTCAGGCACCTGTCTGATAAGCTGCTTCTTCTTTGCTGATTCGGGCATATTGTGAACATGTTGGAACAGCTCTTTCAGTGCCTCTTCTGTCCGCTGCTGGGTCTCCTCCTGATGAGAGGAGGAATCCATCTGGTTCCATTTCTGAGATTTTGCCAGTTGGAAGGACTTAGAATGACACGAAGCTGTCAGATCAAGATCATCCTAGAGAAAATTTAAAAGAAAAATAAATGAATACATCCTACCAGCTTTGTTTTTAGGTTCCCACAACCCTGGAGCAAAAAAGAAGAGTGGGGAAGTAGGGTACATGATATATTCTATACCCAGGAACAATAAAAGAATAAAAACTATTATCAGATAAAAAGAAACATATAGTTATAGACTATGTCTTTTTTAATGTACAGCTTTTTATTGATTAGAGAGAGAGAAATATCGATTTCTCGTTCCACTTATTTATGCATTCACAGGTTGATTGTTGTATATGCCCTGACCAGAGATTGAACCTGCAACCTTAGCGTATCCGGAGGACGTTCTAACCAACTGAGCTACTTGGCCAGGGCTAGACTTTACTAGTATTAATAACCCATCCCCATGACCTGCTCAGAGATCCTAAATTCATTCACAATTATTGCCACCAAAAGTTACATAAGAGTTCAGTTTTCGAAGCATCTTTTAATCTCATGTAATTTTCATTGCTATCCTATGAAGTAAACAGGGAAAGTATCATCATTCCCATTTGATAGAAGAGAAAACTGAAGCTAAGCTATACGTTTAAACTTCTCTAGATACTGAAGTGACAGACCCATCTTGGAGCCCAAGTGCACTGGTTCTTGGCTGGTCCTCTTTCCCACACCTGTCAACATGATGTGACAACAACACAGCAGTAGTAGAGGAACAAAAGCAACTCTCTAAGACACCCCCTCCCCCGCCCAGTTAATCTAGTTGAAATCAAATACTGTTTTTCTGGTCACACCAAGTATTTGCTAAATGAGACGTAGAAACAAACAGGAGCACGAAAAAAAAGAGTGTAGGCTGACAGCTTCAGTTTCTAAACCAAGACAGACTAAACAAAAAGCATTAAAGCACTTGTGAGATTTTTTTAACTTCTCACTTTTAAAGCTCAGTAATCATATGTAATTTTGCCAATAATCATCACACATTTGCATTCTAAGCTCATGTGGTCTCAAGTGTTTTAGCTACTTGACAATGTTTGTTACCTTACTACTGAACCTGAAATAAGATTGTATTACATAAAATTGTACTTTTATTATGATAAAATATTCCATACATCTGCTCTTCACAGACTGTTTATACCATATGCTGTAAGAATGCACACGGGCTCTGTGGAAACCTTTACACATACAGTCTATGCCATCAGTGGCGCACCTCAGAATGCAGACCATGTAAGGGCATTTTTATTTCAACATATAATTTTCTTCTCAGTCTTTTTCCTTACCTCAAAATGACTAGATAATTTTAAACTATAAAAACATTTTATTTTTCAGAGCTTTACTTTGATTTCACACTTTGTTTGAAACTCCATTAATTTTAATTAATGCTCTCCTTGTGTGGGCTAAGAACAATTTCCTATTCTTACCTTGGATGCTTGAGTTCTGGAGCTCAAATAGTGCAATCTGGCACATTCCCGAATGTAAGCAGGAGCCTGGGCAGGTAATGAAAGAAAACCAAGACCAAGCAATAAGTAGTATCTAAAGTTCTTTTAAGACTCAATGACAATGGTTTTCAAAATAATCTGACGGGGAGATTACTTTAGAAAAAATAAAGATCTTCAAAATGCCCTATTTTATAGCTTCCACCAAAAAGATAATTCCAACAAATCTGATGGGAAAACTAAGAAGACACAACTGTAGTTGTTCCTGTTCTACGAATCAAATATGGCATGAATATAGTCAAATGAGCCAGAAACAAAAATATAGATATTTGTAATAATGCTTATACTTGGCAAAACCACCCCTAAAATTCTTACAAATTACAGTGGTCATATTTTGGAATTTTTATATAGAAAATACCATTTAGAATTCCTATGAGGTAACAACAGACAAGGAAAAATTTAGCTCACTTATATATTGCCCAGAATCCTACAACAAAAACGCTGATACTGTCCGAATATAAGTGTAAAATAATACAATCATTATGGAAGAGAACTTAGCAACATCTAAGAAAATTACATTTGCATTTACCATTTACCCAGAAATCTCACTTCTGTGAATCTATCCTGAAGATATAACTTCAGAAACACAAAATAAACTTGGATAAGATAAATCAAAAGATTGGACACAACCTCAAATATCTACTAGTAGGGGACTGATTGAATGAACTTTTATACATCCACACATGCAGTACTATGCAGTCATAAAAAACGAAAGAAGGAAGGGAAGGAATGAGGAGGGGAAGAAGGGAAGAAACATTCTGTGAACAGGTAGGGAGTGATTTCCAGGATCTACTGTTACATGAGAAAAGTTATGGAACAGTATATAAAAGTACTTAGTAAAATGAAGAGGAAATAAGAATATACACATGTAGACACATTTATTTGATTTTACAAAAAGAAACACTAGGAGGATAAACCAGAAAACAATACAAATAATGAAAGAACTGAGATTTTTCCAAGCATACCTTCTCGTATAGTTTTAACTTTTCAACCATGTAAATATACTACAGATTCAAAAAATTAAATTAAATTCAAAAGGGAAAAAAAAGCAAATCCTAAAACTGAACAGAAACAGAAAATAAGTGAACATATCTATACATCAAATTAATACTATAAACACAGAGAAAGGAATTATTTCACCTAGCTTTTGAAAACTGTATTCTGACTATACATCCTTAATGAAATATATTTAAGAAAAAAGGAACTGCCAAGAAATCTTTAACTTCCATCAACGGGTTTATGTAGGTTTACTATAAGTAGTAACAGCTGTATTATTTTGAAACCATTTTATGTATATCATAGAATAAAGCAAATAATAACATACATAAATGCTATGAAAATCTGGAATTTGCAACGTAAAGATAAAAAGGTGTGCCCTAACCGGTTTGGCTCAGTGGATAGAGCATCGGCCTGCAGACTGAAGGGACCCAGGTTCGATTCTGGTCAAGGGCATGAACCTTGGTTGCGGGCACATCCCCAGTAGGGAGTGTGCAGGAGGCCGTTCATTGATGTTTCTAACTCTCTATCCCTCTCCCTACCTTGCTGTAAAAAAACAATAAAATTTTTTTTAAAAAAGAATAAAAAGGTGAAAATAAAAAGTGAAAGAAGTCAAGAAAAAGCTCTATAATGTTAAATCATAATTGGAAATAGTATTAATATAGATTTCTTGCTAAAAAATTTTAATCTACTTCCTTGCCCTCAAAGAGCCAATGACACCCCAGAAACAATGATTATACCTAGTGTTAAAGAAACCAAGGTTCCTTGGAGAAAATTCTTGATTTCAGGCCTAGGGCAAAGCAAAAAAAGAGTGAGCTGGGTACATTTTTATTTTATTTTTACTGACTGATTGATTTTAAAGAGAGAGAAGAAGATGGAGACAGAAAGAAAAACATCAATTTGTTGTTCCACATACTTATGCATCCATTGGTTGCTTCTTGTACATGTCCTGACTGGAAATTGAACCCACAACTTTGGCATATTGGTACAATGCTCTAACCAACTGAGCTACCCAGCCAGGGAAGCTGGGGACATTTTATGCCAGAAACAAACAAAACCAAATGAACAAAAAGTCTGCCCCAAAAAGATAATATAGCTGAAGTGGATGAAAGGGAGCCAGAGATGGACTGCTCTAAATAAAAATCTGAGGGTCTTAAGTATTTTATAATTCACAGGAAAAGAAGGACTTCCCAAATAAAGTGAAAATTGGCCTTAACTGTATATTTAAGTCCATAGGTTAAGATCTGATGACTCATGTTGAAGAGAGATAAAATCATACTGGGTCAGACAACAGAGGACAGAACTACAAACAGCTAAGAGGAATTTCAGAAAAATGGTAGAGCAGGGGGGTTGAAAATACAAAGAACATAGAATGAGGCAACACAGGATATGAGGATTAAGGAGGATAAAAATCCATACAAAGGAGCCCGAGAACGAGAAGACACAACAAAGCACAAGCACAAATCTGGAGTTTAAACACTACCTCAGAGTAAGTGACAGAGCACGCAGAACAACCATTTTTCATCCAGAGGAAAAGCTCAGGGAAGAACATCATTAGCCAAAATGGTAAAGCGGGTGCCCACAAGGACACCAGTTCTGGCCCAAACTGAAAGAGACGAGACCTAAATCTCCAAGAGAAATCTCCAAAAGCCTTTTTTTCTCTCCTTTAGTGATCAACGGAGACTCAAACAGTGCTCACACTAGCCTGGAAACAAAGCTAAAGTAGCAAACAAAGATGAAAACCCCAAGAATGAGAAGCTGAAAGAAGAATCTATGGAAAAAAGGAAAACAGAGTAAAAACTAAGAATATTTTAAAGAGTCTAATCATTAGAATTTGTACTAAGCTGAAATACACCTAGGAAATTGTACTCTAGTTTTATCTCTAAGGTTTGTATGATCTGTACTCTCAAAATCCTTCACAGGGATTTGTTATCTTACATGGTAAAAACGAACTTTGCTGGTGTGATTAAGTTAAGGACCTTGTAGAAGAAAGCTTATCCTAGGTTAGTCAGGGTGAGTCCAATAAAATCACTTGAGACCCTTTCCCAGATGTGGCCAGAGGGAAGTGTGACTAGGGAAGAATGGTCAGAGAGATGCCACACTGATAGTCTTGAAGACAAAGGAAGGGGAGCATGAGCCAAGGAATGTGGGCAATCTCCAGAGGGGGAAAAGGCAAGTAATCAGTCTCTCCGGAACAACCACAAAGGAATGCAGCCAACACCTTAGTTTTAGCCCAGTGAGACTCCAGTCAGACTTCTATATAACCATTAAAAGAATACATTTGTGTTGTTTTAAGTCACTTAAAAAAAAAAAATCCTTCAACCCTAGCCGGTCTAGCTCAGTGGATAGAGCATCAATATGTGGACTGAAGGGTCCCAGGTTTGATTCCAGTCAAGGCCAGGTACCTTGGTTGCAGGCTCCTCCCTGGTCCAGACCCTGGTCAGGGTGCAGGCAGGAGGCAACCAATTGATGTGTTTCTCTCACATCGATATTTCTCTGTCTTTTCCTCTCTTCCACTCTCTCTAAAAATCAATGAAAAATATCCTCGGATGAGGATTAAAAAAGAAAAATCCTTCACAGTGAAGTACAAGTATATAGTTTCAGTTTTGCAAAATGAAGAGTTCTGGAGATGGATGGTAATGATCATTGCACAACAGTATGTATGTAATTTGTGGTGAAAAAAAAGGAATTCTATAAAAGTAACTTCACAGGGTGATCTGATCATAACCTCCTGATTGGGCAGGTCATGGTAGACAGTCACAGCCAAGGCCCACATCTTCTTTAGGGAGAGGTTTTTGTGCAAGCCCTGTCCATTGGTTTTGTGCATCTAGGTTAACACACCTTTGAAATACCAGAAGTAATACCCCTAGGAAGGGATATTAACCATCAAGAAAGCATATACTCTTGTTAACTATCCTGTAATCCAATCCCCGCCTTGCTTTCTCCCTACCTCCATGTAATCTTCCTCACTTTCCCTCCTGAATTTCAAATGTACAAAAGAAGCTGCAAAACAGTTATTCTCTGGAGCATTTGAGATTTTGCTCCTCAGCATACGTCTTCGTTTGGTTCAAATAAACTCTTGTAAAAAGTCTCTACAAGTTTGGACACTTCTTATCAAAAATTAATGCCAAAAGGGGAAACAAAAAGGACATCTGTAATACTTTCAACCATAAAGATCAATATTTTTTTTAAGTTTTAGAAAAACAACAAATTAACGCCCCTGAAGATGGTCAAGATGGTAAATTTTGTCATGTGTATTTGACCACAATAAAAAATTTGAAGAAAAGAAAACAGAACTGGGCGGTCTTAAAAATTCTCAGCCTTTCCAGATGACAAAAGAAATTCACTATCAGAAAAGGCCAAGGATGTGACTGCAACCTTTATTTATAAAATCTTATAAACATCAGAAGGTCAGACTATCCAGTCACACAAACAGTCCTTTCAAGACAGTATAGATGTGCCTCACAGATCCTCTCAATCAAACCAGAGGGAAGCTTAAAGGTCATGTCCCTCAGTCTTCTCAAGTAGAGAAGGGTTTATCTTCAAAAGATTTATATACCTGGCTTCTGTCTAATGGAGTGAATCCCACTGAAATCCACAGAAGACCCACAGAGTTCTTAGAAAATGATGTTGGCAGAAACACTGCTGGTTTAGACTAAAAGGGACAGAGTACAAAATGAAAGGAGGCTGTCAGACCCTCAAAATTCTACTGGAAGGAAACAGGGAGGATAAAACTAAGTGGCCAACATATGCTGCTTTTCATGAAAAAGGAAGGATGACTCGGAGGGATGAAGCCAATTACCGAGGGGGCAAAGCTCTGCTCAGCCTCCAGGTACCTTCCTATCCTCCCCACTTGGTTGTTCCCTCCGGGTTTTGCTACTGTATAATCTGCTTACCAGTCCCAGGGCCTTTCTTAACTGGTTATCATCACCTTAACAGCCCTCTAAGCATCCCACCTTGCTCCATCCTCCTTGTTGTTTACCACCTACTCCCCTCCCTTACCTACCTTAAAAAGTTTCTGGGAGTGTTTAATCATAAAAGCCATCCCACTGTTTAACTTCGTGATGTTCTCTTGAAGGTCATTTGCAGTGACCTGTTCAGGAAAAAGAAACAAAAAAGGGGATTACAAACTGGGGAACAGAAGGCAGATACTCCACTTACTTACCAACAAGCTTATTCTTTCAAAGACATGATAGTTTCTGTCCCTAACCAAGGTGCCTCTAATACAATGTTTCATTCTGCAAAGGCCTTTTGGT